TGTCTTAGTGTTGCCCAGAGTAAAAATGAAACTGCGAACTTGACAAAATTCAAAAAATAATTCATACTTTGATATTGACTTGAAAATAAACACTAAAAACAATGGTAACACAGTGATGTAAAAACATATATTTAATTGCAATGTGTGTATTACAAGCACATACAACGTTAATTGCACAAGTCATTTAAGAAGCACCGTCTGTTGACACCATTAACATAACAGTTAAGTTATTGCTCTCAGAAAGGCATAAAAATAAAATAATACTAAAATAACTATTAATGATTCAAAACATATGCTATTAAGAGATTTGATGGATATTGATTCTACTATGGCCTACACCAAATGTGACAATAAGCAAAGGCCAAATATAGATTACGGTACTAGTGTACAGTGGGTATAGAATCCATCAGGTTGAAAAGGTCAAATTTGGAGGAGTGACTACATACCGGTAAATATCTTATGCCTGATAAGAAAGTGCAGTAGGGACAAAATTCATAAGGAAGCAGAGAACAGTATACTGTAAAATATTCTATCTTTGTTTGGAATTAATTTTCGCTTTTTTCACTGAAGGAATGATTCAGTGAAAATAAAACACAGCGAATATACCTTTTTTCCTATATTTTACATTAAACTCTTCAAAAATCAGTGAAAATAAATTCCATATAAAACAACCAAAAAGTAATTTCAGTGAAAATTAATTCCAGCTAAAATAAAGTATTTTACAGTATATAGTCCACCTTGCCTGACAAATGTGGAAATATCAACTTGGCAATTAGCTGACATCAACATGGCTGACAACAAAAAGGATTTATTGGATTTCATGGCAGTGACTGGGAAAGCAATTAAATCAAAATACATTCAGTTACTGACAGCTACATTCAGTTAAAATCAAATAATACTGGCATGATAAGCATTTCGTAGTAAAAAAAAAAAAGTCTGAACTTTAAAGCATTTTCTCTCATCTATGAACAAGACAAATCAAAGAGACGTAAGTACAAAATGGCCGACTAAGTAAAATAAAGCTAAGGTCATTTCAGAACAACAGGTATAAAATAGAACACCACATAATTTAAATTGTATTTGATCTATGTACCATGCACAAACCATATATTAGCATAAAGGTGTAGTAAATCTACTCATAGTCTTTACTAGAAATATTTTTAAAAATGTGACAATTAATCACCAAATGAATCCTGGATTTTTTGCTATTATTAACTGTCAGCCATTAATCATCTAAACAGCTAATATTCATTCATCATTGCATTGTCATGGTAATGGAAATTCTTTATTGGAAATCAAGAATTGCAATTTTAAACAAATTCAAAAATACAACTGATGCAGGCGTGATCACCCATCTTTATATTTAAACCATTATAATTCTTCAAGACTGAATTGTGACACTGTTTTTGTTGTTGTTTATTCGTCGCATTTGGAATTACACTTTGTATGTTGTGAACAAGTTTACTTTTGTGAGTGACAATGTTTTTGTTTTTATTGTAGTGTTGCAGTGACCTGTTCATTGGGATCCCTAAGACATCCTCACAAATAATCATGAAAATTAAAAATGTTAACAGTTCAGAATAGATTGAGGAGATTAGACATGGGTTGAACTGGTTTTCATCTTGAATTCATGGGAAGCAATACACATGCTCACAATTACAGTAGAAACAGAAAAAATAAAGACTTTTTTCTCGCCATCTTAATTTGGGTAAATCCCAACTCCCAAATTTGGTTTATTTCCATTTACTCTGAGTCACCTTCATTAAGAACATATGAGCACTATGTCAACGTTAAAAGATATCTATCTATTACAAGCATCATTTTCTTCTAGCCGTTATATAGTAGTACTGATATGTTACAATATTTGTCCTAGGCAGCTTATTTCAGGCCGGTTTTAAAATACTGAAGATACAAACCGGTCCTACTATTTAACGCCCGGACACGCGAGGGAGTGTCCGGGCACGCGCGGAGGCGAACAGGGGGGAATACCTAACGCGCGGGGCAGCGGCAGCAATCCTTGTACTGTATAATATTCGTTTATGCTCAAAATTTGAACCGGAGGGGCGAATTCGAGCAGCTATCCACACTTTTTATGATCGACGCCCGGGCATTCCGGCGAGTCGAGTCCGCCATGTTGTTTACTAATTTTGGTTAGCGTTTAACAATAGGACAATACCATTCGATCCATGGGGGTGACAGTCCTACGAATGTGCCGACATTGTCGAAGGACAAAGACAGGACAAGTTTGTGCAAGTGTGGCGAGACTCCCGTAGTATTGTTTAGTAAGATTCATTTAAAAATGACCATGTAAGACGTCTGTTACGCAGAAATTATTCACCCCATGTTGTTTTCTCATTGTTATGTGTCCCCGTAAACACAGCATTGTATGCAGGTGACAATGTTACGTACACTTGCAATGAAGTCGGTAGCCTAAGAATATCGTAACGTCTTTGTGTTTCCTGTTGCAGTGCAAGTTTGTATACGGTAAATATCGTGAACGGTACAGAGTTCGGTAAATCTCGTGTACGGTACAGAGGGGATATTTTCGTCCAATGTTTTTATACTTTGTAATGTAATTCAAACAAATAAAAAACGTATATTCGTAGCCATGGACAAGATTTAAAATGTAATCAACCGTTTTATTCATCCATGATTTGTACAAAGATCGTATATTTTGTAAGTGTATAAAGCATTTTCCAATATAGATTCTTAAACACAAAATATCAAATATATCTTTAAGTGTAAAAATCGATTTTTTTATTGTAAATGGTAACTTCCTGTAAAAACTCAAGATGCCTTTTTTATTTCCTGTACCAGTCACCCACCCCATGTCCCCACTTTTACAGCATGCGGTAAATTTATTATTGTACACGCAGTTTACGGTAAACCTGGTTTATACCTCTTGTCGAAAACACAGAGTTTGGTC